CGATGTTGTCGACGATAGTTGTTAGATAATCGTCTGTAGGCCCTACTTGCAAAGTATGGATCGTCATAAAAAAAAACAACAAAATAAGGCAGTCAATATTACGCGCGGTAAAGAAAAACTTCGTACAATTTTAATATGAGTCGATTGACATTGAACGTATTGTTTACACGAGTATGTGGGTCTAATGACCCGTGATGTACACAACATTGTGTGTTGTACTTTCGCCAGTGGTGTGCTGATGTATGTGTGTAGTTCGCCTGTACTCTGCTGATGTATGTGTAGTTTGTGCCGTGCTGATGTGCGAATGTAGTTCGCCTGTGCTAATGTACGTGTGTAGCTCGCCTGTGCTAATGTATGTGTGTAGTTCACCTGTGCTCTGCTAATGTACGTGTGTAGCTCGCCTGTGCTAATGTATGTGTGTAGTTCGCCTGTGCTAATGTACGTGTGTAGCTCGCCTGTGCTAATTTATGTGTGTAGTTCTCCTGTGCTAACGTATGTGTGTAGTTCGCCTGTGCTAACGTATGTGTGTAGTTCGCCTGTGCTAACGTATGTGTGTAGTTCGCCTGTGCTAATGTACGTGTGTAGTTCGCCTGTGCTGATTTATGTATGTAGTTCGCCTGTGCTGATTTATGTGTGTAGTTCGCCTGTGCTAATGTATGTGTGTAGTTCGCCTGTGCTAATGTATGTGTGTAGTTCTCCTGGGCTAACGTATGTGTGTAGTTCGCCTGTGCTAATGTACGTGTGTAGCTCGCCTGTGCTAATTTATGTGTGTAGTTCTCCTGTGCTAACGTATGTGTGTAGTTCGCCTGTGCTAACGTATGTGTGTAGTTCGCCTGTGCTAATGTATGTGTGTAGCTCGCCTGTGCTAATGTATGTGTGTAGCTCGCCTGTGCTGTAGACCCGAGGGGTCAAGGCCGCTCCACCTGAGTGGCTGTCCGAGCAGACGATCACGTTCGATACCCGGATGTGTTGGTGCGATACCATTTGTTTCATGTGACAGTTGTATAAGCCGGGTGTGGGTGGGTGGGATGGGCGAAGAGGAAATGTTTACATGTTGATATAAGCTAAACGTGGTGGTGGTGGGGAGGGGGGGGGGGTGTACGATACCATATTTTCACACCATGTCCTACTTATCACGTATTGTGATGGGTTGTGAGATGGGTGGGGGGGGGGGGGAGGAGTAAACACATCAAAACAGATTGTTATTTTTAAACAGTGACATGTTTGCGTGTGTGGTAGTCTGCTTGTACATTTAGTTAATAGCGTCACAAGGCGGGGGTGGAAGGGGTGGGGGGGGGGGGGTGGGGGGTCGGTACGCACCGGTGACACCTTTATGAAAAATCGAAAAACGTAAAATTTACTGTAGAAATTATGTTTTCTCCTGCTAAAATAATAAAATGGTAAGGGAGAGCGGTGACACCAATCTAAAAATGAAATATTGTTGGAGGTGGTTGTGGTGACATCCTTAGTTACTGCCCCTAATGCCACCGGCCCTATCACAGTATGTTTCAGATTTCACTCTAATGATTTTGGATCGAGGGGGTCTAGTGGGTTAGGAAATGAAACATACTAGCAATTGTATTTAGATATTTTCATCACTGCGAATCCACACGAAATAATGATGTATATCTTAGTCCAGCAGCATGTGTCGGGTACCCATTAAAGCTGAGTTTCCCCAAATCATAAATTGAAGCTCGACGAAGATACGCTACTTGGCCATTTACAGCATCTTACGTCATATCCTATTTCCGTTCAATTTCCAGGTTCACTAACTACTAATTGGGCAAGGGGAGACAGTTTCTCAAAAGTGTGCTGTCGATAGTTTAACAACAAACCACTACTCACAGAATCGTCGAACCGTGTGTTTCTGTTTGATATAACTTAAAATATGCACTACAAGTATATCAGAACATAGCACTTATTTCATCATCTGTGAGATAATGCTCATGTAACAAACATCAAGAGCAACTTGAAGACTAGCCTAGTGCATAAAGGGAGGCTACACTTACACAATCACTGCACGTAAAACTATATATTCATGTGAGTGTGTGTGTGTTATATGTTAACATTTCAGCAAACCTAGGATTTTCATCATTATCTATTCCCGTTCGCAGTGGCGTAGCGAGGTCGGGTGCGGCACTTAATGGTATCACCCCCCAGAGGCGTAGCGACCCTTCCCGGGGACAACTTTCAAGTTTTCGATTTGCACCCCACCCCCTCCCCCTCAAACTTTCGATTTGCACCCCCCCCTCAAGTTTTTCTCTATATATTTTGCTATTTTTTGCCTTGGTGTCACCCCTCTAAATGGTGTTTCAATGACCTCGGCATGCGAGGGGATAATGTGGTCAGCACTACGTTCGGTCGACTTTGTTCCCTTAGAGTCAGGTATCCATCGGAGTTGGGTGGACTCAGGGACGTCCTACATGATCGGAATTCTAGACTTTCGGGTTAGAAGTCATACGCTCTACCATTGGACCACGCCACCACCAATAGACCTAGGATATTTATAGACTTAAAAGCTTGTTTTAGATGGATTCAAACCTGTAGGAAGTCTCTAAAAAAATACTCCATACAATAATAACATAAATTTTTCTATAACATGCCAATGCTAATTAATATGTTAAGATGAAGGCAATTTACTGAAGTGGTGAGTAGAAGGTGGGGTGGAGAGAGGAGGGAGTAGGGTAGGTAAGGTTAGCCTGTCACCCCTCCTTGGACATAGGCCGCTGACAAGAGCTTCACCGGTAACTCCGTCCTGATTTGATAAATGACCGTATTGTCTTCTTATTTCTGGCAGTTATTCTCCATGTCTCAGCACCATAGAGTAAAACAGGTTTTACTAGTAAGTGTGTTGAAGACCCGGATAATTATTCTAAGAGTTGAATCTCCAGAACCCCAACAAATTTTGGTTGTTCTTGCCCGCCCTTATTTTCATGTTGGTTTTTGTCCCACCTTGCTTATCAGCACTGCTTCCAAGGTAGGTGAATCTTCTTCTGCCAATGTTGTTGGGATACTGCTTGACTGATGTATTGACTTTGAGGATTTTACTTTTCCCTCTGTGGATGTTCAGGCCTAGACATGTAGTTACATTAGCAACACTGTTGGTTTTATCTTGCAATTGCTGTTGTGTGCGAGAAAGAAGGGCCAGGTCCTTCCGCTAATACAGTTTATGGAATGGCATAGATAAAGGGTGGTGGTTCAAAAATAACGTCACTTAATTTAATTGCTAATAATCGCACACACTCGTCTACATAAACAACCGGAGGGGGGGGGGAGGTGCACTTGAAACTTCAGGGTGTGGGCGGACAATTGAAAAAAGTTTACATTTTCTAAATAGGCTAAATATTATATTTTCTAAATAGGCTAAATGATATATTTTCTTTAGCCTATAGGATAAATATTATATTTTCTATATAGGCTAAATATTATATTTTCTATTAAGCTAAATGTTATATTTTCTATTTCGCATCAGGGGCGGGGACGTATTATGGGAGGAGAAATGCCTGAATGAAACGCTGCACAGAAGATTCATATTTTCTTATCTCTGTTTATTTCTATTGGGTTACGTTCACTTACTCTAGAATTACAACCCACTTTGATTGATACATAACGTACAACACACATGCATTGCGTGAACACATTGTGCAAGTTATAATTAACATTTCTGTCACCATGGCATTTTTAGCATGCCGTTTTAAAAAACAAACTCCAGGCATGCTTGACCTTTATTTAACGTGTGAGGGTAGCCTACCATGTCTGACCCACACTGGTCAGGTCAGCTTGACCCGCGGGGTTGGGACCAGCAGAGGTCGCTAGCGCACGCGCTGTGACGTACGTGTCCGCAGCCGAGCGTGATAATATCAAGGATAGTTTAACATAATGAATCGCTGGCCAATCAAATCTTCATTTGTTAGGTGGCTGCAGATGGTGTGGGCAGCGCTGTGTTGTGTTAATGCTGTCAAGTAGTAGCGAATTAAAAACCATAACTCAAGTTAATTGCCTAAATAACTTGTTTCAGCTTCTTTGTTGTGTTTTCACATAAGCTAAAAATAAAAATGAAAAATTTTATGTAACGCTCGAGGGTGCAACAAATGCCCCATTTCGTCGATAACATTTCATTGTAGGACATGCCATTCGTTTCTTACCCATGACATTTGTTTGTTAAACATATATAACCTAACTTAACCTTACACATATGTGAGGGACAGTTTCCCTTTATCTTATGGATATTGATCAGTTTCTTTCAAGCATCGCTTCGGGGAAGGGGGATAGGGGTGGCACATGATCGGAGCACTCCCCCCCCCCGAACAAAATATAATTTATGTAGAGAATATATACTTTTACAGTGTCCGCCCCGAAAGTTTCAACCCGGGGGAAAATGTTTGAAAGAAACACTGATATTGATGGCTTGAGTAGCCACCGTGGCTCTCAAATGCATTTCTGAAGTAAATTATTATCCGAACTTTTTTGTCCCGTTTTAAATAAAGGCTAGTGCTTTTGGCTAATTCCTCTGGAGGACATTATTATTCGTCTTCTTAATTTACATAATTGTGCCAACTTTGCTCCTTTCTATCGCGAGGTAGATGATTTTGTCATGAAATATTCCTTCACGAAGCGAAAAGCGTTTCTCTTCACAATCATCACAATCACCCTCCCCCCCCCCCACTCCCCCCCCACTCCCCCCCCCCACTCCCCCCCCCCCCCCCCACTCTCACATCACAACCCAACAGGAGCAACCATTATAATTCATATTAAATATTTTTCGAATCTTCAATGGAAAACGTCTTCCGCAAATTAGATAGGGATTTCGGTACTTTAGAAAAAAAAAATGCTTTTAGCCCAAATGAAACATAAAAAAATAATTAAATAATTGGTAGATGTTCTTTTTTACTATTCTATATTTTGTTCTGTTTACAAACTTGCAATTTTTATATTACTATAAGTTCAACTTTTTAGATAGTTAAAAGTTTTATCCAATAAAATTACTCGTTACATTGCACCCATAGGCCACGTCAAAATGATAGTGTTGGAAAATTAGGAAAACAATAACAATGTTTGATTTCATGATTGTTAAACAGTATTTGAGTTCGAAATTAAATATGAGTATACATATTTCATACTCATTTATTTCAGATTTAAATGGAAGCATTTTAAAGGGTGTGTATGTTGTTAAAGTAATTGTGAAGAATGTAACAAATTCATGAATAAACTGATTCATTTCTTTCTAGATCTAGATTCTAGATCTAATTTTAAACTAATTTATTTTCGGTAATCTATCGTTTTGGGTACGTAAAATCGCCCGCGATTTGTAATGTGAAAAACAGGTGACTCCTTAAATTTTAATAATTATTTCACATTTTGAGGAGGATTTATGTTTAAAAAAATTCAAAAATGTTTCCTTGATTCATTTATGTACCTGTTTTTAAACAATTGAATTAAAACTTTTCCGTAATAAATGAAGACTAGCGATGTTTCCAACAGATGCAACCATGCTCATTTACTATAGCAGCCATCTTGTCTAAGTTTTATTTTTATAAGCTTTTAGCGCCCGATTCAGGGGGAAGCCACTCTATTTTACAAATGGCTGCTGTTTATATAGCAAATCTTGCTCTCAGACACTGCTGTTTAAAGTTAATTTCCGGCCTATATCGATATATTTAGCCATTGATTTAGGTTTATTATTCATAAATCTATAATATTTGGCACAAAAGTATGACAATATACTTCTATTAAAGCCTTGACAATGAGGTAACGTTTTCGTACATAAATAGCCGCGGGCGATTTTACGTACCCAAAACGATAGATTACCTTATTTTCTTTTCTTTTGATTTCAATTTCAGTCATTTGATCTAAAGATCTAAATCTACTCTAGGATCTAGATCTATCTACTAGATAGTATCTAGATCTAGCCTAGACCTAGAGTAAAATCAAGTGATTTTAGTATTTTTAGTTTAGCTCATTTTATTTTAGGGCCAACCTTTGAGTAATCGAAAACATCGCCACGATGGCAAGTCGTAGTTTCTCTCCATTGCGCATGCGTATCTTTTTCCGGCTAGCATCAGCCTATTTATTTATCAATTATTCGCTATCCGCTATGTTGTGATATTAATTATTAATTTTTTACAATTTCAATCTTCATTTTTAGACTAATAAATATTTAATCATTTAATGTTTAAGATTAAGTTTAAAGTTTGAGATGCCTTGTCTTAATTACCAACTACATCTGCTTCCTTTAATTCCGTGTATATTTGAAAGCCTATTCAGCGTGGTCAAGTCGGTAAAGCTCATGGTTGCTGAACCGAAAAAGTCTCAAGTTTGAGCCCTCAGGCAGATGAGGCTCGTTGAAGGGAAGCCCCTCAAACACTTAAAATTAAGAAGAAGAAGAAGAAAGCCTACTAATTTTAACTGTCAAAATTGATGGGTTGTCTAGAAAATGAAAATGTCTTTTTAAAAAAATGGTTGCTATGCTATTATCTATATATATAATTCTCTTCTGGGAGCCGTTAGAAAACAAGCTGCAAGCGCGCCTTACAGTCCCCTCTCTTCCTCTCTATCGCTACCACCCCCCACCCCCACCCCCTCACATGGTCTGGTGAGCTGTGGTTCACGCTGTTTACATTTTACAATCATAGAGACGGGTTTGGTGACGGCTATTAGGGGCAGATAATTTAGTTTGAAACGATTTTAAACTTAGAGGAGGTAACTAAGAGGAGGCTGCTTTCACGTGCGGGGGGGGGAGGAGTGTTTAGTGTTTTTAAGCACATATTTTCAGTGGCAGCATTGGTACTGTCGAATTCACAAATTATAAATTACTGAAAAGTAGAAAAAAAAAACAACTAAATAGGGGCGTATGATACGCAGCGGGTCGGCTCGTTGTAATAATTAGGCTTACGGTAATCTATCATTTGCGATGATTTTTTACAAAAATGTTTCATGTACCTGTATTTAAACAATTTTATTAAAACTTTTCAGTAGGCTTAATCAATAAAGATTAGCGCTTTTTTTTCATCTGATGCAACCAAGCTTGTTTATTTAAGTTTTTTTTGTGGTAAATTATACTTAGAATTTCAGGGGAAACGACTCTAAATATATTTAGACTTAGCTATTTGTTTATTATTTAGATAGGCCTATCTATTATATTTGACACAAATAAATGACAATAAACTTGTATTAAATTTTACCTACCTAAAACAATACATTACCTAATTAACCTATTAATTGTTTTAGTGGAGTGTTGTTATGTGATTGACCATTCAGCACAAATGTCTCATCTGCTTGAGTTCTTCTAATTCAACCACACTACAGGCAAAATGGGCCGGATTAGTGTTGGCTGTTGTCTCATTCAAGTTATTATTTTCATAAATTTTTCTTCATGGTCAGGAATATCTATAATGATTAAAATTAATTTTTTTTATTTCCAATCAAAGTTTTAGAATATCAAATAAAGGATTTATTATAAACAATGTTAGTCCTTACATTATCTTTTGTTACCTTGTACTCAGCAAAGTGAACAAATACACCACATATGGAAAGTACATTGCAAACACTAAGAATTCATTGCTAGAGTCTAGTCAGTATTGTTGTAGAATTATTATGATATTTAGTTTTGAAATGACTTCTCAACTTTGTGCAAAATGAAAAGGTGGATTGGTCTTCTCTGCCAGCCAACATTACCAAGGCAACAGCTTCCCTGCTGACTAGTGCTAACTGAACCTGCTAACAGTCACAGTCACTTCAGTAGCTTGTAGTTAGTAAACCTGTACTCTCTGTAGTCAAACGTTGACTTAACATTCACAATACTGATCTGAAACTAAAAGAAAAATGGAAATTATTTCTTTTCAGGACAAAAACTGTTGAGTCATACTCTTTGTTACTTTTATTAGGATCTTAGTCAAGTCTATTAGAAAAGTCTATTAGTATTAAGCTTTAGCGTTTACTTTTAACAAATGTATGAGGAATATCCAAATAAGTGTTGATATGACTACATAACACTAGAGACAAATGGAAGAAGAAAAAAAAAACTATGTTATTGATTAGCTCAGTTTGTTAGCCAGTGAACTATATGGTATTTTTTTATATAATAATGGCCATTAGTTTGTAGTCATCAGGCCGCCATACAGAAATGACATCTAACTCAAGCAAGGGCTTGGGGTTGTTTTTTAAAATTAACAAGAAGACCCAGTTTCCCATTGGATAATGGTCTGTCTGCTGCACAACTTAATCCAATATCCCATTACGCCCACCCATTTATAAAGCCTTTTTACCTCAAATGAATCCCTGTTCTTTGACCCGAACTTTGACCCAAACCCTGACCCAAACCCTATGGGACATCTATGTTACTTCTGTAAAATTAGTTTTATTACTCAGGTTTTCACACATAACAAGCCAGTATTTCTTGATTATTGTTGTCAACTGAATGAATTGTAGTTTTGCTGATTTTTGTTGTCTACTAAATGAATTGTAGTTTTGCTGATTTTTGTTGTCGACTAAATAAACTTTATTTATTTATGAAAATGAATTCATTTAGTCACTAAACCAGTTTGAGCTTAAAAATTAGTGTGTTAACTTTTAGTGGACCTACTTTTCAATGAAATAGTTGAAACATGACAATTATTCAGTTAAAATTTATTGAATTTATTTACCTGTCTTTGTCATTATCTGTCTAATCTGCTGTTGGTACAGTCACCTGCAGCATCCATTCTTATATGTGTCAATATACATATCTACACCATACCATTCAGGATGTTAAATGAGGTTATTATGGGATGAGAAGCAAAAATCTGTTTTTTCTCATATCATTTTTAGAAGGTTACTGTTATGACTTTGGTTAGCACATGTTAGGGCTAGGGTTAATGGTGAAATTTGTAAATTACATTAATTGATTTAAACTAGCACCCTAATCATTGTAGAAATAAGTTGGGTAAAAAAAAAATTCCCTTTCAAATATGACGGTTTATAGGTCAAGTGAAGTAGAGTTCACTTGTTTCTGTGACCTCGGCATAGAGATAGTGTGGTCAGCACTATGTCCAGCCGCCTTTACTTTCCCTTACGTGAGTTAGGTGCCCATCAGAGTTGGGTGAACTCAGGGACGAATTACTGACTTGAACCCGGATTCGAACTCAAGACTTACGAGTTAGCAGTCCAGCTCTCTTCCGCTTGACCACTCCGTCCCCTTGGAATAAGTTAGGGCCTACATAAAATTACATCACAATTTCCATGTCTTTCTTCACACCAACTACAGAATGTTTTTATTATACCTATAACCCATTTGCTGCACATGAAGAATTTGTCTTGTCCTGAAATTTTAATTCTGTAAGCTGATGGTGAGTTAATCTGGTTATGGTATCATAGTCCCATATGTGGATGTTGTGTTTGTCTTATCCTTACTACAGCGGTATAATCAATTTTTGTGGCTTGGTATAATGATATATATAGAACAACAAATAAACAACTATTGCTTTTCTGCAATGTGTAATTCATGTTGAAAGGTGACTGGTTAATTAGTGGGTATTTGCCTTTTTTAAGACACAGTGGAACCATTCAGTTGGTCTTCAGCTGTAGCCCTAGCACAAAACATCACACAAAAAATGCCTAAAAAAATGTATATACAATCACAACAATGAAAGGCAAGACAAACAATGTAATTTGCTGTAAAACTGTTTTTCTGCCCTCACTGTACTACATAATGAGCATCTGTAACTTTAGAAGCTCTACAATTTAAATAATTAAATCCTTAGTTAACATCATTTTAAGTGATAATAATTAATGTCTAACTTTATAATTATATTAATCCTCTTTTTTAATAATTTGCAGCATAACCATGAATCTTCAGGCCAAAATTTGAGCTGCCTTGTCCTCATAAAGCCTCTGTCTAATTCAAGGGTCAACAAAATCATTCTCTGGATCTTATATACTGTCTGGAAATATCTTCGTCATCACCAACCTCAGTCAAATTAAACGGTCACAAAATCACACAGTGGATTTGATTAATCTGTTCCAGAAATAGCCTTACATCATTCTTTATAGCAGACAGGAATTTTCAAACTTCTGGAATATTCATGGGACAAGTCATCAGAAGGTAAGTCTTCTCCTCTTTCATTAATGTTGTAATTATATGTATAAACTTTCGAAAAATTGGTAATAATCATTTCTGATTTTCACATTCAGCCTCTGTGAAAAATGCCTTATAAAGATAATATCAGTAGTATACAGGGTACCCTTACATGATGTCACACACCTCGGACAAGGGCAGGGGTTAAGACCTTTATAATCAGTGCAGGTGGGAAGAGTTCAAGATGTGTAACAAAGCATTGATTTTGTGCATTTTAAAAATTATGGAAAGGTATGGGTGGCTTTTTGTAAGAATATAGGTGAGGGTTTAAAAATCAGCAAATAATTCTTTGTGTTTTTATTTTTGTAAAATATTTTAGACTTCAGGAGGTAGGATTGAGGCCACAGGATTTTCTTGGGTTACCCATCACAGACTTTCCAAGATGGGAAGATCGTCAGATTACCCCAAGGGGAAGTTCCAGCTCTAGTACACGCTTTCCTGATCTGGCGGAGTTACCCCCTGAAATAGGTGGGTAGAAAAAGTTTGATGAGTTGGGATGAATTACTTTTTAAGCCTGATGGTCGTAAGATCAATTTGTGCTGCATTTCATAAGCCAAAACAAAAACTGAAGCCAGCAAAACGCTTTACAAAACAAGATATTTTTTTCATCATACTTTGTACGATATACTAAGATTAAATCCAATTGGTTTTGGCTCATTAATATCATATAGTTTTGTTATAAACAGAAGAATAATATAGATGATAAGTAAAAGTAAATAAATACTGTAATAAATTAGTAAAACTGCTAGTAGTACACATTTGTAGACAATAATTTGTACAATTCACTAAGATTATATCCAATTGTTTTTTACTCATTAATATCATATAGTTTTGTTATAAACAGAAGAATATTATAGATGATGAGTAAAAGTAAATAATAACTGTAATAAATAAGTAAAACTACTAGTAGTACACATTTGTAGACAATAATTTGTACGATTCACTAAAATTAAATCCAATTATTTTTTTACTCATTAATATCATAGTTTTGTTATAAACAGAAGAATATTATAGATGATGAGTAAAATTAAATAAATACTGTAATAAATTAGTAAAACTACTAGTAACCTTTTAGACCAGATGGTCAGTAGTGTAAATAGAGATAATGTCATTCAAACTCCAGTATGGAGAAAAACTTGCTGTGGTTAGCAGTTCTGTTTTTTTCCCCCTCCAACACACCATCTTATGAAAGACAGAGTACCAAAATAGTTTTGAAACATTTCTTTGTTTTTATTTGATCTGCTAAAGGCATAGCAATGATCCTTTCGGGCAATTCTAGCAAGACACTTCTTGAAAATAGTAAATGACCGCTGACTTTTTATTGCTCTAGATTTCAAATAATTTGTTTTCCTACATTATTTTTTGTCATCACATTCAGGCCTTGCAAGCTCTCTCCCATCCTCTTTCACAGCCAATAAAATTAAATTTGTTGACTTAAAATATTTGTTATCCCAGTTGGCATAAATATTCAGAGTGAATAAAACATTCTTGATGAACTAAAATATTCAGAGTGAATAAAACATTCTTGATGAACTAAAATATTTTTTCACTGATATTCAACTTGAATAAAACAATTTATTGACTTTAAATTTTTTATCACTAATATGCATCTCAAATAAACCAATTTTATTAACCTAAATTATTTTTTTTACTGATATTCAGCTGAAATAAACCAATTTTGTTGACCTAAAATATATTTTTACTAATATTCAGCTAGAATTAACCAATTTTGTTGACCTAAAGTATTTTTTTATCACTGACATCCAGGACTCGAGGTGCTCTCCCATCTGGACGCTACAGATCTTTGTCTGGCCTCGTGTGTCTGGTCGCATTTGGCCAATGATGAATTTTTGTGGCAAAGGTGGCCATTTTTTTAATTACTTATTCATTATTACCTTTTTTTAAGTTTACAGATGAAAGCCATTTTATATATTTACATTTTTGATGAATAATGATTTTAAGCATTCCTTTTAAATGCATTTACTAGTTAACATTTTTTTTGGGTAAAGGTTGTACTATACCTAAAATGTGGGGTGGATTCAGTGTTATGGTTATTGAAATATTTGTAAAAAGGGTTCCCTTTAGTTTGTCTTCATTCCATTTTTAGGCAAATAATTTAGAAGTGAGCTTTTAAATGTGTCCCTTGTATGGTAATGCTCGTAAATGTGTCTGATGTCTAGTATTTTTTAAATGCACTAGTAGATGTGTCTGATGTTTTTTTAAATTCGACATGAACTTGTAAATGTGTCAGCTGTATGTTAATATAGAAGTCTACATTGTAAATGTGTCAGCTCAATGATAAGTCTACATTGTAAATGTGTCAGCTCTATGTTAAGTCTACATTGTAAATGTGTCAGCTCTATGTTAAGTCTATATTGTAAATGTGTCAGCTCTATGTTAAGTCTATATTGTAAATGTGTCAGCTCTATGTTAAGTTTACATTGTAAATGTGTCAGCTCTATGTTAAGTCTACATTGTAAATGTGTCAGCTCTATGTTAAGTCTATATTGTAAATGTGTCAGCTCTATGTTAAGTCTATATTGTAAATGTGTCAGCTCTATGTTAAGTTTACATTGTAAATGTGTCAGCTCTATGTTAAGTCTACATTGTAAATGTGTCAGCTCTATGTTAAGTCTATATTGTAAATGTGTCAGCTCTATGTTAAGTTTACATTGTAAATGTGTCAGCTCTATGTTAAGTCTACATTGTAAATGTGTCAGCTGTATGTTAACATAGATGTCTACATTGTAAATGTGTCAGCTCTATGTTAACATAGAAGTCTATATTGTAAATGTGTCAGCTCTATGTTAACATAGAAGTCTACATTGTAAATGTGTCAGCTGTATGTTAACATAGAAGTCTATATTGTAAATGTGTCAGCTCTATGTTAACATAGAAGTCAACATTGTAAATGTGTCAGCTCTATGTTAAGTCTACATTGTAAATGTGTCAGCTCTATGTTAAGTCTACATTGTAAATGTGTCAGCTCTATGTTAAGTCTATATTGTAAATGTGTCAGCTCTATGTTAACATAGAAGTCAACATTGTAAATGTGTCAGCTCTATGTTAACGTAGAAGTCAACATTGTAAATGTGTCAGCTGTATGTTAACATAGAAGTCTACATTGTAAATGTGTCAGCTGTATGTTAACATAGAAGTCTACATTGTAAATGTGTCAGCTGTATGTTAACATAGAAGTCTATATTGTAAATGTGTCAGCTGTATGTTAACATAGAAGTCAACATTGTAAATGTGTCAGCTGTATCTTAACATAGAAGTCTACATTGTAAATGTGTCAGCTCTATGTTAACGTAGAAGTCTACATTGTAAATATGTCAGCTGTATGTTAAGTCTACATAGTAAATGTGTCAGCTCTATGTTAAGTCTGTATTGTATATGTGTGTGATGTTTTGGTTCCAGCCTGTGCAGAAGTTGCTGGGGAAATGTCAGCATCTACAAGAATGGAAAACCTGGAGCCTTTTCCTACAAACAACTTTTTATGTGGCTGGATGAAGCATCCTTGACCTTCAACACAGACCCTTTTGCTGTAAGTTTCAATTGTTTAATGCCCATTTCATAAAGTGCCCAACATCATAAGTCAAATCCTGTTAAATATTGATTATCACATAGAATGTTTGCTTACGGATCATTGTTTTGAGATGTCCACTTGATTAAGTAAATTGGGGATTAGTGGTTCAGCTCTATCTATATTCATGCCCAAAAGTTATTATCAATAAGCTTATATGTTTTCAAAACTAAACTACATTTATCTGGTTTACAAAATGCATTCATTTAAACAGCAGCGCTTGGGTTAAAAAATAGCATAACAGCAAATTAATTCACTGTATATATTTTTATATATTTGTATACAGCATGGTTATAATGATTGTTTCTGTTTCCAGGGAATTAATTATTTGACATCCAAGAACATCATCGAGGATAAACCTTTAGACATCGCCAGATTTCTCCACACTACCAAGAGATTGTGGCCAATTAAGAAACTAGAATTTCTACAACAGAGGTGAGTGGGACCTAGCTCTCTGGTCATGTAACTAATGCTTTTATTCTTTAATTTTTAATGTACGTAGTTAACAACTGTATTTAGTCACAAGTGTAGTTTCATCAACAAATGTATTTCATCAACAACTGTATTTCATCAACAAATGTATTTCATCAACAAATGTATGTCATCAACAAATGTGTTTTGTCAACATATGTGTTTCCTCAACAAATGTATTTCATCAACCATTGTATTTCATTGTATTTCATCAACAAATGTATTTCAGCAACAAATATATTTCATCAACAAATGTATTTCATCAACAAATATATTTCATCAACAAATGTATTTCATCAACAAATGTGTTTCCTCAACAAATGTATTTTATCAACCATTGTATTTCATCAACAAATGTAATTCATCAACAAATGTATTTCATCAACAAATGTATTTCATCAACAAATGCATTTCATCAACATATGTGTTTCCTCAACAAATGTATTTCATCAACCATTATATTTCATTGTATTTCATCAACAAATATATTCCATCAACAAACTTATTTACCCAACACATTTAATTCTTACAGGCCTGATGTTCTGGAACGACTTGTGCAGCTCCAGAACTTTCAGAACCAGTTCCTTCCCAACGCACTCCGCAAATTCTTTAAAGAGGTCTCAGCCCCTCAAGAGAGAGGGGACATTCTGACGATCATGATTGAAAACTTTTCCCAGCGGTTTTGTGCCTGTAATCCTAAGCTTGGCTTGAGTAAAGGTAAAGATTACCCACTCTGTGGTTTAACTGAACTAACCTTTATCCATATCTATTACGAGCTTAGTTCGTGAAAAGCTAAACCTAGCTCTAGCCTTAACCCTAACCTTAAAATCACCACCTCCATATAGTCTACAAAACTTTGAATAGATAACTAAAAGGTGCTAATAGAAGAAGCAGAATTTGGCAAAAACATTTCCAGTGTATTTATATTATAAACAAAATACTATATTGTTTAAAAACATCTTATAAATGTATGTCCAACCTATCCGGCCACTTAATGGTCACGTATTTGAGTATCCCACCTATTGATTAAATTATTGGTGTTTCCAACCTATCTGACCAATGTGTTCAAATATTTTATTAATTTCCTACCTATCTGACCAATTAATGATAAAATAGTTGATGAGTTTCCAACTCAATTGTCCCATATTTGATGTTTCCAACCTATCTGACCAATTTGTTCAAATATATGATCGCCAGATGCTGTCTTTGTGTTGTGTTTCTCCCTCATCATGTTGTCTGTGGACCTATGCAGCCCTCACGTCAAGAACAAAATGTCCAAGAGAGAGTTCATCAAAAACACTTGCCGCGCAGTCTCGGAGCTTAGCAGGGACCTCGCAGGCCACATGTATGATAATATTTACTTAGCGGGCCATGTGGCCCCAAAAGATTTCTGTTGATGGCCTTTGAATAATTTGTGATGGCCTTTGAATACACTATGTGATGACCTTAACTTATTAACAGATCAGGCCCATTCAGGTGTCCAGGAAATTTTGTAGTCAGTTTTATTTTTAATCTAGTTCCTTTATAGCTTAAGTATCTTAACCAGCATTTTGTACGCCTCTTCCTTGATTAGGGCTTTATAATTCAACCATTTTACTAGGTTAACATTTTTTCAAACATAGAAATTGTGTTGTGGGTTGTTAAGGCTGATTTAGAGCAACTAATCTTTTAGTTTCGAGAGGATAATCGTTTTTATTAGCGACCTGATTTTATTTGAAGAGTGTGATTCATGTGAGTTAGTTCCCCCATCTCATTATGAGATTAAGCTGCTGTATTTGCCAGCTCAGTTTTTTTTATAGAGTCGTTTTGGTCCAGTAAGATGGTATCTCGTTAAGTGTGAATTAGATTAAATTCTTGGGTGGTCTGTAAACTCTTTAAGTGTGGGGTAGCGGAGGGGGGGCCTGATCTGAATGTTACCAAGTTGCAACAAACATGTTATTTATATTAATCATTGAAGGCCTTATCAACTGTTAAATCATGTCATTAGGTCATGCCATGACTCCCTGTGTTGTGTCATTTGATGCCATGTCATATCCATATGCCATCATACCCAAGTTTTTATTTTTATATCAAGATTCACTATAACTTATCAGAGATCTGGCTGAAATAAATGGCGCTGTGAATTTAACATGTTCAGTAAAATTTAAATTTCCTACCTCACATACTGGATGAAGAAATATATTTAAACTTGAAAAGTCACAAACTTTTAAAAAAAGAAGTTAGTGTTAATATTTATACTTTTATATAATGATTTTATGATAGTTAAAATAAGAAAATGCAAGATATTCATCAAAGAAATAAAACTACAATCTGTATATTGGTGTATATTAAAGAAAGAAATAGCTCTTTTACTTTTAAATATCTCCATTAAAAAATTAATCATTATTTGGTCTATCAGTTTATAAAATCTGGCTATATATATAAATTAAAGCATTATAAGAAGACACTCTTTCATTGAATATTTAAATCTCGCCAGATTTTTTTCAATTGATAGACCAAATTTTCACTGAAGCCCATGTTGATCACATGTTGACAGCTGACAGCAGCTGATGTGTACTTAAAGTTGTTTATCATTGCCAAAGTACTTGCAGATTTCATCACCTAACTTTATTTCAAATCTTATGCAATATAATAACTTTTTCCTTGGTTAATCATTAACTAAAGGTTGTTAAAATATTTATATATTTAGTTTGTGAATCACGTGAATTACTTTTTTTTTTTTAATATTGGCTTCTAATATTATGTATTGTATGTATTTACATTATTTGAACTGTTTTTAATGTAGCAGAATTTACTAGATTTATACTAGCGGTGTAAAATGAACAATTCCTGCAAAAGCATAGCTTCTTAATTAATTCATTTTCCAGAACAGTGATAAAAATATAGGAGTAGTAAATTGTATTTGGTTTAATCAGTCTCATAAATTTTTAAAACAATTTTGCAACCATATATTTTAATTAACACAATAAAATTCTCATATAAGTTGATCATTGTAATAATGCTAAAACTGAAGTATTTCTCCAAACCATTTATAATGAATAAATAATGTATTTTCTTGGTTAAAACCTTCTAACCAGATGTATTTTTTGTAAGCATTTATCAAGCAGGTTGTGTGAGCTATAATGTGAGTGTTGCTGGACAGATATTGTTAGCTAACAAGACACTAAAGTTAATATAGCTACCATGTTTAGCAATATGTAGTTAATGAGTCACTGAAATAGAACTGAGTGACAGTGTAATCAACTCTTTTAGCTATTGAAAAGTTTAATTGTTTTTAACATGCAATTTGAAAAACAACCATGAAAAAACCTGAATGGTTGCCAAACAAAAACATAAAAATGCCATCATATTTCTTCTTCATTTCGTGTGAGTTTTCAATTGCAGTAAAATTATATACTTAAAGACATTTTAACTTGTAATCACATTTTAAAGAAATTTATTGCTATTTTTAACCAATGCCTGTTCATAAGTTTCAGCACATTGTATTAACTTTTGTTAGAAGTGAATCAAAACACGAACGATATTACTTTTTATACCAGTTTTTAGCAACATTTTTATTGGTCAAATATCAAGTCGCATCTCTGTACTGTTTCTTTTAATTGTGTTTTTATTAGAAGTAGGGAAACAAATATGTTCATCTTAAAATAAATCTGATCTAAGAGAATGAATTATAAATATCCAGTCACGTAAGAAGACTTTTTAGTTGTTTTTTTTTCTTTGTTAACAATTTTTTTAAATGTCTTGATTAAAAACTTTGGTTTCTACCAGTTGAGCAAAAAAATTTTTTTTTTTGGTTTCAATATCTTTCATGATTATCTGGCCAACTGGCTGTGTTGCCAAATAAGTGACAAGAATTCTGAGAGTTAAATTTAAATAATTGTTAATGGTTCAGCACTTTTACAATTTATTTATGTACAACTCACTGCAAAATTTTTTAATTGAACGTTTTTTTCACATTTAGGCATTTGATGCTTCAATATTTACCTTTATAAGTTCTATCATTCAATCTAGCTATATTTAACATTAGGATTTTTACCTTTCAGTTAAACATTTAATTTAGTTTGACATTTTAAATTTTAACCTACCATTAAAACTAATTCTGTTTTGCATTGGAGTTTTAACATTTAGTTCCATCATTAAATCTAGTTTGATATTTTGAAAATTTCACTTTTAGTTCTAATTGTAGTTCTGCCTGTCAAAACTTGCGATCAAAATGTTGTGTATTTTTATAAAGTTATTTACACCAACTTGAAAGAGAACATTTTAACCACTGGTTTAAAAATTATCAACCAACACACCAGACAATAGATGAATGCCAATATTTGTGTTGTATAATTTTGCAGGTGATATGCCTGCCTTCCTGTGATCAAAGCACTTTGTTTTAGCTTTTAACAAAATAAATTCTTTGCATTCAAATGATTTGTTTATAATTTTGTGTGTGTGTTGGCATTTTAGGATAAGGCTTCTTTATTAAGTAAAGGTATGTGTCCTTTAGGATAGGAGAGTAGTGTGTGGTGGTAGGTGAACAGAGTTTAAGTCTTAGTCTGCTGTGACATGTCGTGTGGGGGTGTAGGGTGTTTGGTCTAAGTGGTCCATCTTGTGTGGGTCATCAAACATCAATGGAGTTTTTAAAATTGTCGCTATCTCGCGTCTTTGCCTTGAAAGTATTTCGTAACATTGTGAGGTAAATAATAAGTTTGAAAAAAAAAAAACAACACTAGACAAAAGTTTCCTTTCTGTTGATATTTTGGAAAAATATTTTACTTGGGGCAGAAAAAATTATTCCTCTGTGGAAACCTAGTTCTATTCCTCACCTGTCAATTGCACCCATTTTATTTTGTGAAACCGTGTGGGTAATTCATATATCTTCACGCCTTGGTTAAATGCATTTTGACTAAAGTTAAGTCCCTTTACAACAGTTAGAAAATGGAAGGTTTTTGCACACAAAAGAAAAAATCTTATTTGATATCTCTGGCAAGGGAGGCAAATGTGCAAAAATATATTCTATACAGTAAACACTATTTGCGTTAAGTCCCTTGAATACACTAGCGTTTTATAGTATAAAAGCAGATCCTTCACAATTCTTATCAAGTTTCTCTATCTTATTGTAGTTCAAAACAGAATTTGGCCATGCTTTAGACAAGAAAAACAAAACAAAAAAATCTACACACATTTTATGTTTACATCAATGGTAATTAAGTTTAACAATTGTAATTTAATGACATTTATTTACTTTCTCTCTGTTTTAATTTCGCATTTGATTTTCATCTGGGAACGTTTGGCGAAATTCTCTAGGGGATTATTAGCGCTTCAGTCCAAAACAGTTTCTGATGCAAACATCCATGGGTCCATCAATACAGTTTAGTAGAGCCTCAGTCCTGGGCTGCACATTTCTGCACAATGTTGCACATTTGAATACACAGTTCTGAAGCTGGGAAGCATCGTTAACAATAGCGTAGGCAAAAACAAATGCAAACACCCAAACATCTGAGAACACATGAGATAAAAACATTTAAACACACAAACATCTTACAATAAATGTGAAATTTTTAAACCTCTAAACACCCAAACATATGAGAATAAATGTGATCTATTCTATATCTATTTTAAAAATATTTAAACACATAAAAAGTCTTAGAATAAATGTGATATATTTTTAAAAAAAATTTAAATATCCAGACATTTGAAAATAAATGTTATATATTTTAATATTATTTAAACATACAGATATCTGAAAATAAATGTGATATATTTTAAAATATTTTATTGAAAATTCTAGATACTAGAAATATTATAACATTTCTTAAGGTCAGTCTTTCATTTATAAATGTAATAAAAATTGTTCTGCTCAATAATATGTTGAAAAGAAGCAGCACAATTTCTTTAGCTATTGATTTGACGATATACGTAGATTATAATACATATACATATATATAATATATATATATATATATATATATATATATATATATATATATATATATATATATACACACACACACATAAAACTTACACTTCATTTAAACAAGTTGACGTTCTCAAGTTAATCCGGTAAACATCAGCTGTAGGTGTCAATTTCAAATAAAAATAAATCAAATAATTAATTCAAATGTTGTTAGCTCGTTCCCATAAATTTCAAAGAAAATGATTACATCTAGCAATGTTATTAATTATTATTACATCTAGCAATGTAATTAATTATGTTTACATCTAGCAATGTTAGCTTATATGTACCCCCTCCCGCACTCTGCCCGTTTTTTTTTTAGTTTTCTACTTTTGCAACGTTCCCCTATCACATTGCTCACACCGTCTGTTTGAACCCCCCCCCCCCCCCACTTCTTTATTTTGTTTCTCCGCTTATACAACAGAACACGATTGCTTCTGGCTATTTCATACATCTTTATATATTTTATAATACACTGGCCTTTCATTAATATGTAAACACTAATGACTACTGACTGACCATGCACACACTGACACACACACACACACACTGACCCGTGCACATACTCTCCCGAGCACACTAACACACACACACACACAGACTGACCATGCACACACTAACACACACACGCACACATACAGACTGACCATGCACACACTGACACACACACACACACACTGACCTGTGCACATACTCTCCCGCGCACACTGACACACACACACACACACACACACACACCACACACACAAACTCTCCCGCATGCACACACTTAACCTTATGAATCTTTAAAAATGTATTCTTATAATTATAAAATAAAACGTTAGGTAGGTTCTCTAAAATGTACGTCCGTATACAGTTAAAGATCTAAACTAGAAATGAAGTACCTGCTGCGCTAGTTACTCCAACCAGTTGGAAAGTCACCTGTAATTAACTTTAGACCCATCGATCGCAAGCAAACTGTTGACTTTTTAATTGAACTAGAGGGAGGTAACCCATTAACCATTGTCACTTGTGATACTGGTTGTCTATGTCAGGTATTTAATTAATTGTTATCGTTAAGGGGAGTTTGAAATAATTGTTGTATTTCAAGGGAGGTGGGGGTCGTCCATAAATGACGACACACTTTTAGGGGGAGGGTGGTCCGTAATTTTGTGAAAGTGTGTGATGAGGGGGGGGGGGGTTCAGATGGTACAATGTTAGAAAACGAGTTTTAGCCGTTATTTTGCGTTTTAGAAAACTGTTTCAATAAATTGTAATAGGAATTGATTAAAATACTCTATTTTGAATGAGTTCAGAGACAAAACTTTGGAAAAATATCGATGTTTTAAGAAAAATTCAACTGCAATTTTGAGAGGGGGTGGGGGTTGTAGGCTGAGGTGTGACGTCATGTTAGAGGGGGGGGGGGGGCTGGTTTTTTGTGACGATATGTGACGGAGGGAATGGGGGAGGTAAAAATCGTCAAAAAAAAGCGTGACGTCTTTTATGGGTTACAATAATTGTTGTCATTCAGGTCGGTGAACCTTATTAACACGTTTTTCTTAACTCAGCTTCGCGTTTGTTTGTTTGTTTGTTGTTAAAATTGACATCGAAAATTAGCCCACTTCTGATTGCTCTAGAGACCTGAAATTTGGCATGCATGCTACTTTCGCCTAACAATTTCAGATGCAATCATAAAAACTAGCAATTAGTGACCGTAATTAGCTTAATTTAATTACGCCCCAAGGACCATAAAATTGAGGACATGATTTCTAAAGATACCGACAAGACTTGAGGCCTATTGACACAGTTACTTCGGCCCCAATCGATGTGAGCGCGCTGGCCGTGATCGTATAGTGGTTAGTACTTCGCGTTGTGGCCGCGACAACCCAGGTTCGAATCCTGGTCGCTCAAGATTTTTTTAGTCCGTGTATTTATAAACACTTTTTTTAAAAACCACGTTTTTCATGTGTAGCAACGGACTAAAAAGGAGAAAATAAAATACTTAAAAAAAACTTTTTAAAAAACCACGTTTTTAATGTGTAGCAACGGACTAAAAAGGAGAACGGACACGGTAACACATTGTTAACGGTGACACGGTTGGTACGCTGGGCATGCTAAAATACACATAAACACGTTTTTCCTTAACTCAGCTTCGCGTTTATTTGTTTGTTTATGGGAGATTTGATCACGTGATTCGTGAGTAGATCTCCACGCTAGCAACGTAAATTACACCCTTTCTCTGTTTAAAGCGTATCGGTCGCTCAAGATTTTTTTAGTCCGTGTATTTAAAAACACTTAGTCAAGTCATACTTAATCAAGTGATTAGATAAAGTAGAAAATAAACTATATAAAAAACTTTTTAAAAACCACGTTTTTCATGTGTAGCAACGGACTAAAAAGGAGAAAATAAAATACTTAAAAAAAACGTTTTAAAAAAACACGTTTTTCTTGTGGACTAAAAAGTAGAAAATAACTATTTACATACATTTGATGACAAAAAACGTGGGTCGGGCAGATGGGTCGGGAAATTTGATGGTGAACGTACCCACGATTTTTGTCATCAAATGTATGTAAATAGTTATTTTCTACTTTTTAGTCCACAAGAAAAACGTGGTTTTTTAAAACGTTTTTTTTAAGTATTTTATTTTTAGTTATCCTGTTTTAGACAAGTGACTGGCTGCAGGATTAAAACTATCCACGTACATGACACTCTTCCTGGAGGATACACATCAATACACAAACAACGGACCGTGCGCAGGCAACTACTCAGTGCTCGCCCTCGTATCCTCTTCCTAATCTTACCCCACTGAAGTGATCCAATGTATGCCACCATTTCCGTTAGTTGGGCCGGACACGCGAATCTGGGGCACACGACAATCCCGGGTGATGAATAAGACGTGACCTTGTAGCTTCTTTGTTGTTACTCACCAACACGCGCGAGTCATGACGTCATATTGACGTGTGAGTGTTCTAAATAATGACATGCAAGTGTCCATCTTGAGACGTGAAAGGATTTCTTATTTTGTCAATCGTCTTTAAATATATTTTATTAATCATCGAAAACTTATTAAAATAATTAAAAGAAACTTTCCCTAAACCAGAAATGGATTAAAAAAATAATAATTCCAAAAAATAATTCCAAAAATAGGCAAATCTTTTCGGAATTTTTTTAACCGAGATAAACTAATTTTTTTTGTTTTGTGTGCGTGTGTGTGTGTGTGTGGATGGGAAAAAAAGGGGTGGGGTGGTGGACTAACAGCGAGACCTGGCCAGGGTACCATCCTACACAACTGCAGATTTTGTTGTTTGTTGTATGGTTAAGGCAACAGTATAAACTGTAGATATACTTCAACACAAATGTGGGAAGGGGTGTTAGTCATAATGTTTTGTATGCAATATCTACTCAATACTTAAGCACTTTGACCCGAACACGTTATCCCCCCCCCCCATGTTTACAATGGTCTCAACCCATCTCTAGATGATACAGTATTCAATCCTTCTCTAAGTAATACAGTACTCAATCCTTCTCTAAATGATACAAATCCTTCTCTAAGTGATACAAATCCTTATCTGAGTGATGCAGCACTTCAAGCCATCTTCAGTGGGTCAACACAACTCAAGTTTTTATTTTTAGCAGCATTTGCGTTAGTGGTTGGACTTTGCGGATTACTCATAGCGGATGTTCACGAAAGACAGGCTATTTAAACCTCAGAGTCCACGTCTGTTGGTCACTCAAGTTTGTCAGAACAGTCAGTGTACATGTAAGGGGACATCTTGTAGTGGTCAGTCAGGTTTGTCAGAACATCTTGTAGTTGTCAGTCAAGTTTATTAGGACATTATACATGTCTATGTTCACGTTAGTCGGCGAAGTTTGTTAGGGCATTATTCACATCTCTGAGGCTATATTCAAGTTGGACAGTCAAGGGTGTCGGTTCGTTTAAAGAAAGTACAAAACAAACAAAACAAACAACAACCGCACAGAATATTTTATTTTCCGTGTTCTCTAGATATTGTACATTGAGGGAAATGGCTCAACAATGCAGATCGTGTGTAGGTGTTATGTTATTTTATGTGCTGTTGGTAAGTACATTTTCTTAATTTACTTTTTAGGATTGTCAGGATTTTATGTCTCTAGACGGGTACTTAGAAAATGTAAAGTTAAAACAGTTAAAAGAATGAAATCACGCTTTCGTTGCTAACAAGCTCTAAGAGAGAGTATTTAACACAGGCTTACAACAAATGCCCAATAGGGAATTTGTCGCATTTGGGCAAACGTCCATTCGTCCATTGGGGCGTTCGTCCCACTCACGCTAAAGTCCATTCGAGAAAACGTCTTTTGGGCAAACAGCATTTCTGGCAAAGTCCGGCACCCTTTCCACATATACAACTCATCTGTTCATGAGGTGTTTAGTGTAATGTGCAGTCTTAGCTCGACTACCCAAGATGTAGGCCTATAAAGTAACTGATACACACCAGCCATTTTCAGTGCAGATAGCGGCCATTGACATTTCGTTTACTTCCGGTAGAGCTTGAAGGCTAAATGAAGGGACGACTTGATCGCACGAATACGAACATCTTGAGCTATAGGACGTGGGGGACTGTACCCAGGTCAGATGGGCACATGATTTGAGTCGGTAGGGGCGTCTGGGTGTAGTACTGACCATACCAAGGGGAGTCTGGGTGTAGTCCTGACCATACCAAGGGGAGTCTGGGTGTAGTCCTGACCATACCATCCATTCATGTACCGAGGTTGAAAAAAAACCACCAGACGTACTTATATAATATCTATCTCCTTTTTTCGGTTGAGTTGTGCCCCATGAATTGTTATACAAAAGAAATAAAAGAGTGATACAATTTCTGACTCGAGAGAACAATAAACGTAGAAATCTTAAAAAACGAAGTGCTAAGAAGAGTAGGTTGAGGTTAAGTGCCAAAAATTGATTGTTGTTGTAGATCTATAATGTAGGTACAATTAACGTATGCTTCTTTAACTTAGTTGATAATTCAATTCGTAACCTTGAACTTTTCCCAGGTTAGCGTCAGAGGCAAGTCTCTTGAGAAACAAATCATGGACGGAGCCCCCAAGGCGGAGATGTTTGACCTTTTTCACCTGACACCGGACGGAGAGGTCATGGTCATGACGGAATTTGACCTTTTGTTGACCTGGAAGGAATACAAGTCGCTTTACGCCAAAGAAAATCGCCCTAAGAGAAAAGCGAGACGAGATTTAGCCACACGATGGACCAACTGTAATGTCTACTACGAGATCGATTCATCGATCATTGACGACAACGATAAGAAGCTAATCAGGCAGGCTATCGGCGAGTGGGAGAAGTACACCTGCTTGGTGTTTTCTGAAAGTAGGAGCAATCAGAACCGTATCCAGTTCAAGGACGGGGGCGGGTGCTACTCACAGCTGGGCATGCAGAGCAAGCCCCAGCCTATCGCCCTGGCCCCGGGCTGTCGCACCCCCGGGATCATCGCCCACGAGATTGGGCACGCCATTGGTTGGTACCACGAACACATGCGTCCGGATAGAGATACGTACATCAAGATAAACTTAGACTCCGTCCCGATGAGATTCCAGGACAATTTTAAGAAATACGACGAAAGTATCATCAACACCTACGACATTGATTACGACTATACCAGCATAATGCATTATGGAACTGGGACTCTTCCCGGATCCATCACAACACTAGACCCGGAATTTCAAGACAAAATCGGACAAAGGGAAGGGTTTTCGTTCAAAGACATCAAGCTTGCTAACGTTATGTACAGCTGTGCTGAGCTAATGTGTCCCAAACCATTGTCCCCGTGTCCATATGGAGGCTTTGTCATGTCCAAATCCCTAAATGGCAGTAAAAAATGTGAATGTTGGTGCGACTCAGGCAATGTCAGCAACCCGCTCATCTTGTGCTCGAAGTTAAGCAAAGGACCAACTCCCCCTATACCCCTCCCTCCCCCTGAACCATCCGTAGAGAAGCTTTGCTACGACGTACGAGAAGACTGCGCAGAAATGAAAGAAAAAGGCAAGTGTATGACGGACATGGAGCTGATGATGGACGTGTGTGGAAAAACCTGCAACTTCTGCGGGAAAGGCGAGAAAATGTGCATGGACCACGAGAAAAGCTGCAAGTTGATGGCGGCGGCAGGGTCCTGTCAAATCCCGGCTCTGAAACCAGTTTTAGAAAAACTTTGCCCCTCGTCCTGTGGCGTATGTGCCCCCCTCCCCCCTTGTGACGTTCAGCAGGAAATGATGGGGAAGCCTGTGGGCGACTCCCATAACTCAGCTAGTTCCAGTTTTAATGTGATGTTGTCTCCCCTTATTATAAGTTTTTCCATTAGGTTGTTGCAATACATCTAACCAGTAGCATTATTAATAATATAGATGTTATATGTTAATTTGTACATAATGTGAATACTAAATCATTCATGTGAAACTGCACAATGCTCAATTCAATGTAATGTAATGTTGTTATTTTAATTTTTATAAAGTTTACTGTTTTGTTCTAAAGCAAATTTTTGTGTGAAATAAATGTACAGTTTTGAGTTCGTGTGTAGATAGAATTATATGTCAACCTACCACACATGTCTACTGACGAGGGAACATTTAAAGAACACCCACTTGTGTGAGCACTTAACATGTATTGTTGTGATGGTCATCTCAAGTCATATCAAGTAGGGTGTGGGTGTTCCTAACCGAAATAACAGGGTGGACGGTTGGTTGTTTGTGTAAGTGGTAGCGAGTGTGGACGGTTGGTTGGAAGAGATAAAGAGGGTGGACGGTTGGTTGGAAGAGATAAAGAGGGTGGACGGTTGGTGGTTGTGTAAGTGGTAGCGAGTGTGGACGGTTGGTGGTTGTGTAAGTGGTAACGAGTGTGGACGGTTGGTGGTTGTGTAAGTGGTAGCGAGTGTGGACGGTTGGTGGTTGTGTAAGTGGTAGCGAGTGTGGACGGTTGATTGTTTGTGTAAGTGGTAGCGAGTGTGGACGGTTGGTGGTTGTGTAAGTGGTAGCGAGTGTGGACAGTTGATTGCAAGAGATAAAGAGGGTGGACGGTTGGTTGCAAAAGATAAAGAGGGTGGACGGTTGGTTGCAAAAGATAAAGAGGGTGGACGGTTGTTTAGAGAATGAGCAAGATAAGTGCTTTAAACAAGTTATTATTTTAGTTGTTATTGTTATTTTTATCGTTACACGAGAAGAGCGATGACAAAAGTAATTAGAGAATGTGTAATGTATGTTTCTCTAGGCTGGTAATGAATGATTTTGTGTAAGCGACTGTGCGGCATACATTGCTTACATTTTAAATACATGTACTTATACATATATAACTGATGTAATGATCTAAGATAATTATTTGTTCAATATCATTCATTTTAAAATTTTAAATAGCTGTTGTTGCAAATTTGTTAAAAGTTTTTGTTGTTGAAATATATGCTAAAACGTTTCCTGAATCACCTTGTTTTTCTGAATGGATGAATGTTGTGCATACATATGGCGTAAATGTGTTATATGAAGATGACGTGTGTGTGCGTGTGTGTGTGTGTGTTTGTATAACAAACTATAATTTAAAAGCGATATGTAATATTTTAAATACACAATAAAAATAAGCTGTTTACATTTCGTTGGTTTGTGCCTATCGAGATTAAAGGAGGGAGGGGGTGGGGGGAATGAGGCATTGCATCCAGATTTCCCCTCAGAACTTATCAGTTCGGTGCCAAGTTAACTAGTGTTAGACACTTAATTAATTAGACACTTGATTTATTGAAAGTGGTTTAAAATCGGGAAGTTAATTTGATTTTATATTTACAATGGCTCATTGCTATGGGCGTTTGGAATTCATTCAATAATAAACAAAAGGCGGCTAGTGACTACAATATAGGTGGAGCTACAATATAGGTGGAGCTACAATATTGGTGGAGCTACAATATAGGTGGAGCTACAATATAGGTGGAGCTACAATATAGGTGGAGCTACAATATAGGTGGAGCTACAATATAGGTGGAGCTACAATATAGGTGGAGCTACAATATAGGTGGAGCTACAATATTGGTGGAGCTACAATATAGGTGGAGCTACAATATAGGTGGAGCTACAATATAGGTGGAGCTAGAATATAGGTGGAGCGACAATATAGGTGGAGCTACAATATAGGTGGAGCTACAATATAGGTGGAGCTACAATATAGGTGGAGCTACAATATAGGTGGAGCTACAATATAGGTGGAGCTACAATATAGGTGGAGCTACAATATAGGTGGAGCTATAATATAGGTGGAGCTACAATATAGGTGGAGCTACAATATTGATTAATTCACATTTATGAGCTGTGTTTTCATTAGAATACATATTGCTTTTATGATAATTGTCATGTATGCTACAGCTATATTTTATCTCTATCATCTTTTATCACCCCTCTCCATATGACTATAAAGTGTACTTATTACCTATCTTCAAGATAGGGAAATTAAGAAATTGAGTCTCTCTTTTTTATCTTCTACAGCAAGGTCTGGTTGAGTTTTATTCACGCTCTGAAAGTCAGAGAGATTGGCCATATTTTAAAACATTAATTAAATGGTCTGTGGCAGGACTTGGTGCAATCACACTGGGAGCATTTCTTGCACACAAAATCATAAATTGTAATAATTTGTTATGGTGACTGTTACAATTAAGACATACATAAAATTATATCACATTTCTACTCTTAATCCGTTGAATTAAGCCAAACATTTGTAGCGTTAAACATTTTATGGTGTTTTTTTTTTTCTTCTCTTCCGCCCTCCCCGTACCTATCACTGCCCTTATGTCGGATGTTGCGGGGATGTAAATCTGTTTTTTTTTCCCTGTGTTCCAGGCATTAAATATTAAACACGTATACATCTATACTCAATACAAGTTATACTTCATGCAAAATTAACAAACACAATTAATCACAAAAGGCGATTTAAAATGTATATTAAAAGTTTATTTATTAAAAAACAACCACATCAGCATACATCATAAATATGTGTTATTTATATATCTACATTAGTATAAGGTGTCATTAAAGTCATGGTTAAATTTATAAATGTCAAAGCATTATATGTTTAGGGGAGATGTTGTCACATTGTCTGGCTGTACTTGTCTTTTAATTTAAAAGTTAGAAAGCGAGTTTTTGTGTTGCGTGTATGTATAAACCCCGTTGTTGTATGCCCTGAAACCTGTATTTGTTCCACCACCCGGTTATTTTGTCGTGATGACCTGTATAAATGTCTCTTTGTTTAGTGTGTTGTGGGTTTTGGATTAATAAAATCGGAATGTTTGTGAGAGGTCATCCTATGGGAAATTCATTGAGGTGATAGAGAAAGAATGTGGTGGCTGGAATGATCTCAACAGCGTATTTTGTATTCGGTCTATTGTGTTGTGCGTAGCTTAGAATGTCTGCTGTGTTTAAGTGTTCTAAAAAATCTTTAAAATCTTGTCTATTGTTAATTAATTTAGGAAGCTCTAAGACGCATTCATTGTTATTACTCGAGTGAAAAAAACTATATTCCCCTGTTTCTTTATGTTTTAAAATGGTATGGTGACTATAGTTGATTTTGAACCGCTTAGTTTGTGTGTTAAATATGGAATCTACAAGTTTTGTATCCCAGTCTATTGGAGTAGTGTCTAGTGGGCTGTGAAAAAAATTGAATGTGGATATATGTTTGCCTGTAGTTGCGTGTGTCTGTATGGCGTGCCAATTGTCAATGTATATGTTTTGTAATTCTTTGTTTAAGTTGTAAATGGTGTCAATTTCGTCTAACGGTAAGTCTAAGTCGTTCACTTCCTCTAAATGTAGGTCTACCACATCTCCCCTTAGATCATCTACAAGTACAGCGTCGGTGTCTAAATTAACGTTACTGTCGTTGTGAGGTGTCTTTAGGCGTTTGTTTGTTGTGTCGTCGGTTTGTCTGTCGGATGCTAATGCAGGTTGTTCGGGTTGTCTGTCAGATGCTAATACAGGTTGTTCATTTTGTCTGTCGGATGCTGATGGGGTGTCGGTTGGTGTACTTTGGTTGCTGTGAGCTAAATTATAGTGTCCCCTTAAACTATCTATTCTAGTGTATATTTTCAGACATTCTGTGCATTGATGTCTTCCTCGGTTGTGAGCAGTGTCTTTATGTCGTGTCAAATTTTTTCTACGGTTGAATACACGGTCACAAGTATCGCACGTGTATAGGGTCATGGCTGAGTGACTGGCTGGATGGGTGGTTTGCATCTCAGTCTAAAAATAAAATAAAAAATTTAAAAAAATTAAAAATTAAAAAAAAAAAAATAAAAAAAAAAATAAATAATAATAATAATCGTAAATAAAATTAAAGTAAATATATTTGAAAACTTATTTTTTAAAAAAGATTTAATTAAAGGGTATAATCGTATTTTTATATTAACGGGGTTAATTCCATTAAAATATATAAATAAAATAAAATAAATAAAATAAAATAAAATAAAATAAACAGTATTGAACTTACTTTTTAATGTTAATGTCTAAGCCAGCTTGAGAGCGGTCCTTAGCAGGGTCGCTGTATGTGGTTGGTTCGGCTGGATATGGGTGGGTCGGGTTTTTTTGGGAATTTCAATGGCTTGTTCAGTGGTTAGGGTTGACTGTATAATAAAAATTAAAACGAATACATGTGACTACTTATTTAAAAATAAATGAGATTTAGTTAAAGGGAAACTTTTTTTACTCAAAGTTTTAAACAATGATTTTTGTTAAAAAATTATTTTTGGTCGGCACATCTAAATCACAAGATTTCTTTTCATGCAGCAATTAAGCAGAATTGTACTAGTCTAGTAGCGTCTACGTTTACAACACAGATTAACAGCTGTATCAAGTTAGTCATTCTAAAAATAACCATTACGATGCATTGCAATTTTTAAAAACCTCAACGAGTAGTACCACTTGGCAAGAGGGTGTTAAGTTTAAGGCAACTGTATAATGTATTTGCTTAATATAATTGATCTAGAAAATATTATACATAAATCTTCACACATAATTACTTTATATATACAGTTTTAATCGTGTAATTAATTTTAAAAAAGTATAATACAGACACAAATAGAACTGATGTGGCTCCTCTATTTAAATTTATTTATGGGCAAACTGCGTAGCGGTGGGGAAATTTCGACAAGGTCAACAACGTCATCACGACGGAGTAGTAGTATTATGACAGTTTGGGCGATAGTGATTACGATTACAAATTATATGAAACAGTTACAACCCCCCTCCCCCCATGGACCCCTCTGTAAAAAAATATTGTAATAATACCACAGCTACTTATTTAAATCTATTTCTGAATCAGTATATATGTGTAATTAAATATGTATGTTTAGAACAGTCACCTAAAAACTGACGTTATGTTCAGTCTGAGTTGGTTATTCTACCCACCCCACCCCCACCCCATCCCCACCCCCCACACACACACTTCACCACCACAATTGAGTAGAGCGACTTTAATGTCACACCTAGGTATACACTGGGTTGGAAAATTGACCTAAAGTGACCGGACAGTGGTGAATGGAGTTAACCCCCCCCCCCCCCCCATCCAACCCACCCCGAACTGATCTGTTAAGTACATTTGGGAAAACGCATAACGATGTACCAAATTACCATGCCGCAAGAATCATAGCTTTTGAAACAGGTAAAACTATGTGAATATTGTTTTTGCAATTACCAGTAAAAAGGTATGTGATCAATACAGTGATTTAACCCATACCTGATCACAATGTTAAAAAATGATCTTTAAAGAACACAAAAAGCGTAGTTAATTAAAAGATGTATGATCTGAACTATAAGACTGATATTGTAGATAAAAATTGTATAAAATTTGAAAGCGTGTTTTTATACCAACTCTCAATTAAAAAACGTTCATTATGCTGTAATACTTTAGCATTTATGACGACGATATATTTAATTCTGATTGTAGTCAAAACATTTTTGTAAACACGAATACTGTTAAACAATTTCATTATGTTCTAAAGTAATTATCGATATGTTTTGACATTTATAATTAAATATGTAGTTATATATTGATATTTAAATTAAGAGAGTGATTATTTCCCTTATTTCGCATGTCTGAATTAATGTCCCAGATATTATGAATTTTTTTTTACAAGAATTACAAAACAGATTGTGTTGCGTGTATTGTTTTGGGTTGTAGTGTGTGTGTATATACATATATTTTTTGTTGTTTAGATTGATACATTTTTTTTTGTTTTTTCGGCCTACATTGTGTGTTTTTTCTTATTTCTTCAAGTGCTACTTACAATTTATTCTACATCATAGCGAAGTAATGACATGCAGCTAGTAATTATATATATATATATATATATATATATATATATATATATATATATATATATATATATATATATATATATATATATAATACACGTATATAGAACGTGTTAAAAATTCGGCGCCTTTTTTTGCT